GCCACACAGGTGGGAGGTGGGTGGGAGGGGGGGTATACTGGGATTCTTGGTGGTGGAAAATGTGTATTGGTGAAGGGAAGGGTGTTTGATCATTGTATGACCAACTGAGACTTGAACTGAAAGGCTTTGTTACTGTTCTCACGGTGATTCAACAAATAAATTAAAAAAATATAAAAAAATAACCTTAATGATAATAGCAAATACTCCCACAGTCTTTCCTGTGGTCAGGTCCTATTCTTAAAGCTCAACATATATTAAATGATAAACTTTTCATGTCAACCTTCAGAGAGGATTGCTGTTCTTGTCTTAGTTCATTTGGGCGGCTAGAACAGAATACTCAGCAACGGTAACTTATTTTTTCTTAAATATTTTTTATTAGTTCATATAATATGATCACAATAGTGTTAAAAGTTTTTTTTTCTTTTTTGGGTCACACCTGGTGATGCACAGGAGTTACTCCTGGTTCATGCACTCAGGAATCACTCCTGGTGGTGCTCAGGGGACCATATGGGATGCTGGGAATCAAACCTGGGTCGGTCGTGAGCAAGGCAAATGCTCTACCCACTGTGATATTGCTCCAGCCCCTTAAAGTTAATTTTATTTATTTATTCTTTATTGAATCACTGTGAGATACAGTTACAAAGCTTTCATGATTAAGTTTCAGTCATACGATGATCGAACATCCATTCCTCCACTGGTGCACTTTCCACTTTCCATTTGCCACTTCAAAAACAAATAACCTTAGAACAAAGAAGAAAACTGGCTGGAGGACCCCACAGCTCCCGGAGAATGCTCCGGGCCCCAAACAGAGCCGATATCACCAGGAGGTCCCAGATGGGGTAGGTGCTGTCACCCCACTTTCTTCAGATGGAATCCTGGTGACCATGAGCTTCTACAAGCATGGCTCTGGCATGTGGGTACCAGGACATTTTTTCCGAACTGCATGGCCACTTATGCGGTAATTTAAAAACAGCAGAAATGAATTTCTCTCCCCATACTGGGGGAAGGAGAGTCTAACATGGGGTGCTAGCCATTGCATATCCAGTGGGTACCTGTTTCCAAGTTCACAGATCTAATCGACTTGTCAATTCCGGGCTTCCCCATACTACCACACTGGAGATTTGGTTTCATCATAATAAATTTTGAGGGCACAAATTCAGTTTGTAATATATATTCTCATTTTTCAGAGGAGCGAACAACAAGTTGTCATGATTCATTCACGGAATCTTGCTCTAGAGTTGCTGGGTTTTTTTTTTGTATCAACGTAATATTCATCTTGAATCTCAATTTTATTTTATTTGGGTAATAAATATAATGATAAATAGCTATTATTTGGATAATCAATACCATGATATAAATATAACAATATAACAAATATAATGATAAATATTATTGGGATGGTAAAGAAAGCACCAAGAGCTCTCCTGGGCAACGCCTCGCACTATACTAGAGGTCATTGGTTGGGAATCAAATGGGGGTTGGCTGCATGCAAAGCAAGCACCTTTGTTCCTATACTATCTCTCTGGCCCAAATATCACCTTTTGGTTTGTTTTTTGGCCATACCAGGCAATGCTGAGGGCTTACCCTTGGTTCTGCACTCAGGGATCACTCCTGGGGAACATGGTGACTATATATGGAATGCAGGGGATCCAACTCAGGTCTAGTGTGTGTAAGGCCAGAGCCCTGCTGTGCTGTATCTAGTGATCTTTCAGAAAGATAGTAATCTTTCAGAAAGATAGTAATCTTTCTGCCCCCTCCCAATCTTACATTTTTCTTTTCTTTTTAGGTTTTATTTGGGGGGACAACACCAGGCAGTGCTGAGGACTTACTCCTGCCTCTGCATTCAGGGGTGAATTCTAGGGGGTTATGGGGGACTCTCTGGGGTGCTGGGGATCAAATCCAAATGGTCAAGTGCAAGACAAGCACCCAACCTGCTGTACTATCTCTCTGTCCCCCACCAACACCAAATTCTACTTTTATTTTTTTTTCAAATTCTACTTTTAAAATGCACTCAGTACAAGAACATGGGCTCAGTACATTGAATTAATTTTGCTTTAGAGAGAAATCAAGTTTCTATTTTTATCAACTGCAAACAATTCTGTAAGCTCCCCCAACCTGTTATACTTTTTTATATATGGTGTTCAGGGGTTCAGCCTTCTCAAGAAGCCACCTACTCTCAGTCTGAGTTTGGCAATTCACCTCAGGCAGAGAGATCACCCCTCTCTCTCCCCATGTTGTTTACAATGTAACCACATTTTCTTTGTCCTCTAGAAATTCAGCTAGGGCAGGGAAGTTAGAATTATGGCACATTAAAATTTCTTCTTTTTAATTCCTGACCTTATCTTGCAGCAATGGGCATCAAACTAATGTTAGCTTCTTACCAGTAAAATTTTTGATTGAGGGCTGGAGCAATAATAGCACAGCGGGTAGGGCGTTTGCCTTGCATGCAGCCAACATGGCCAACACAGGTTCGATTCCCAGCATCCCATATGGTCCCCCGAGCACCGCCAGGAGCAATTCCTGAGTGCATGAGCCAGGAGTAACCCCTGAGCATCGCCGGGTGTGACCCAAAAAGCAAGAAAAAAAATTTTTTTTGATTGAATTCATCTTTTTACTTTTCATCGTTAGGCTGTAAGGCACAGATTTCTATTGAGAGTAGAAACTACTTCCATACACTGAGGCTCTTAAATAAGGATATGATAGTAGCAGAAAGATATTTTTAAAAAGACCAAACTATCACTGAAGATTTTAGGATCTACTTACTGGTTGTAAGACCCTGAGCCTGGGTTTTCTTAAAAAGTTTCAGGTCCAAAGGGGTACAGCAGATAGGGCTTTTGACCTTGCACGTGGCTGATCATGGCGCCCCTATAACCCCAGCACAGAGCACTGTCAGGAGTAATTCCTGAGTGCAAAGCCAGGAGTAACTCCTGAGCATCGCTTTTGTGGCCCCCAAAACAATTACAACAGTAATAAACGTTCCCTGTGGCATTTTGGAGCATGAGTTTTATTTTCAGGAGCGATTACTTATTTAGAGAGAAAAAACAAATTACCTGGCGCTTGATTCCTAATGAGTTTTTAACTGCGGAGGTTGGGGGTGAGGAAGGAGCACCTCTTCTTTTGGCCAGAGAGATGGCTCAACAGACAGACTGGAGCTCACATGCATGAGACCCAGGTAAGAATCCAGCGCTGCATGTGGTACCAGGCACTGCCAGGAGTGTGTCCCTGGCCCCTTCCGAGGGAATAGTCCTGGCGCTCCAGGTGTGACCCCGAAACATGAAAGAAAAAAGTTCTTAGGTGAGACTCTTCTAACTTTATGGACTTCCATATCTGCCAAGAATATAGACTAAACACACCAAGACTTTAGAAAATGTTAGCGTGAATGTAACGCAGTTTTGTATATATTTTACTTCCGGCAAGAGAAGGTTTTAGAGAAAAGGATAGCCACTCCCTGGAAGTGAGAGGAGGCAGGCAGTAGGTGGGCCCACAGGAACCTCCGTGGTTCCCCTTCAGTGTGCATGGAGTGGTTTGTTCACTGGCACAGACCTAAGTCTGCCCCCTGCGAGGCAGCCGGATGTTTGCAAACCAACTTGGGTTGGGGAAGTTTATTTTGCATTACCCAACACTCATTATGTGTTGAAAAATTACAGGTTGATATGTCACCTGGTAACTACTCACCTTTGTTAAAGTAAAATACGATTGCCCTCCTGAGATTAGCCCCCCAAAGTGAGGAGTTTTCTTTTGAGGGGAGGAAAGCGGGTGGGGATGTCCCAAGAGCGCACGCGAGACTCCCGCGTTTTTACCCTCTGCCCCATGTCGTCGGCCCCAAAGTCGGAGTTTTCCGAAAGAAAGAGAAGCCTCACTGTGACTTCTGAGCAGGCCTCGCCAATAGTGGAATAGAGGGAGGAACAGCATGTTCTTTAGTGTAGGTTTGCAGCCCGGCATATCCCCACACTGGGAGATCTTGCCAAACTACCTACCTAACGGCTTGGTACTTGTGTCTAGAAAACGTGCGTGGCCCCAACTTTGAACGTGGGGGCGAACACGTGGAAAGCACGGAAAAGCGCTAGGTGACCGACACCTTGAGCTCGGTGCTTCTGTGGCTCTTGGTGGCCTCATCCGTGGAGCCCGGCCGCTAGTTCATCCCCCGAAGGTGCCACGCGGAAGAAGGTTCACCTTCCTCTCCGATCGTTCATCACCTGCGCTTTCAACTTCTGGCCCTTCTCAACCTACCGAGTAGCCCAAGTTTGGCCTGCAGGGGACTCGGGGCCAGCTGCCCTGGGACAGCCGGGAGAGGGGGCGCGAGGGGAGGGGGGAGCCAAGGAGCGCCCCCACCCCTACTCCCCCAAGACCACCTCCCCCGCCTCGCCCTCTCCGGACGCGGAGCGAGAAGGCAGCTGGGTCGGTCCCGGGGAGCCCGGGGCCCGGAGGAGGCGCGATCCCCGCCCGGCTCGCAGGCCGGCTCCGCGGCGGGCGCGCTGGGCGCGGGGCCGGGGGCCGGGAGGCGCGCGCGGGCGCGGCGGCGGGCGCTGGCGAGGCTGCAGGGCGCCCGAGCGGTCGGACGGGGGAGCGAGAGGCCGGCGGGCGGCGGCCGGGCCCGGGCGGCGGGGGGCGGTGCGCGGGGCCGGGGGGCGGCGCCGGCCGGCCGGCGGGGGCGGCGTCTCCCCGCGCCGCGCAGGCGTTGCTCGCACCTTGTTGATTAGTCAGTGCCGGGTGCGCTGCTATGGCGCTTCTCAGCCCCGCGGCTCCTCCTCACGCGCGCGCGGCCGAGGGCAGGAGGGCGGAGAGGAGGAGGAGGAGGCGAGCGGGCGGCCGCCGCAGCTGCACAGCCCGAGCCGCCGCAGCCGGCAGCCGCGGCCGGGCGTGAGGGCGCGCGGGGCGCCCCGGCGATGCCCCGCAGCCGCCGCTGAGCTGAGCCGGGCGCGGGCACTCCCCCCCGCCCTGCTCCTCCTCCTCCTCCTCCTCCCCGACCCCGGCACCCCCGCCCCCCACAACCCCCCGGCCCGGCCGCCCCCCGCGCGCCCCAGACCCGTGAGCGCCAGCAGCCCCGGCGCGGGTGGTGCCGGCGGCGGCGGCGGCGGCGGCGGGAGCGCAGGGGCAGAAGGAGGCGGGGAAGATGGACCCGGCGCCCGCGCTGGGCTGCAGCCTCAAGGATGTGAAGTGGAGCCCCGTGGCCGTGCCCCTCGACCTGCTGGTCAGCACTTACCGGCTGCCCCAGATCGCGCGGCTGGACAGCGGTGAGTCCCGCAGTCCGGGCGCGGGCGTGCGCGCGTGTGCCCGGCGGGGTGGGACCGGGTGGGCCAGGGGGGCTCGCCGGCCCGTGGGCGCTCGGCTTGGCCGGGGGCCCCTGCCGCATTGCTCTCCACTCCACCACCCCCGTTCCAGCCGCGGCCGGGGCGCTTGGAAATCAGAGCCTCGCAGTGCCATTCTCTAAGGACGCGAAGAACCAAAATCCACATTGAGGGGGGTGGGGGGAACCTCTGCAGATAGTAATCTCGAGAGGCGAAGAAGGCCCTCCCCACCCGCCTGCAAGAATTACTCAACCTGGGAAACCCTGAAGAGTTCTCTTAAGCAACTTTCTTAGGAAAATAATCGGACTTTGGGTGGCACCCCCTCCCCACCCCATCCCCTTTACTGGATGCTCCCCGTCTCCCCCACCCCCCTCCTCTGCCCCCTACAAAAAGCCGCGGGTTTAAGAGGGGGGAAAAAAAAGCTCCTGGGTGACCATTGGAAGGGATCGCATTTCGCAGCGACCTTTTTATTACAGCTTGTCTGTTTTGTTGAACCGAACTGAAAGTAATTTAGGACTGTGTGTCGAAAATGTTTGGAGCCCAAGTGATGGTATGCTTAAGGTTAATGATTAGCCTAGCGCGTTTCCCAGCTTGGAATAAACTTAAGTCACCCAAACCTATATTGACAGGGAACCTGAGCTCTGAGCTATGAAATGCTTTGAGTTCCTGAAACTGACCGGAAACTAACCCAAATACCCCTCAGCTATTTTCTGCAGCTTGATAACCCGCGAGCACGTAGCGCCGTAGATCGTGTCCAGCGCGTCGGCACCCATCAGTTTGAAAGTTGGGACACGTACACCTAAGGTGGCAGTTCAGTTGGTTTCTTTCTCTTGCGTTCTCCCAGGAACTTCAGTTGATGTCAACTTTTCAGGATTTCAGAGTGTGCAGGAACAAGGCTGTCGTCTTTGGGAGGTACCTGAGCCCAGGCTGGCCGGGGAAAGGCAGAGCTGTGACCACAACACGCCAAGTTGAAGGGGTCATTGAACCAGGAAGGTGGCAGTCCCTAGCCCAAGGATTTGGGTTACTGTTGGAGTGTGTAACTTGAGATGTGTAAACCTCCTAAGAACTAAGAACCCACTCCTTTCTTATTCCTGGGCGTAGATCAGACAGTTGAAGCACTGAGGTGACGAAATACAAGCAGGGAAGTTCAGAGAATCTGGATAACAAATCTTACCTTCCTTGTTACTGTTGCTTGATGAGCTATGGTAGTGTTGGCCATTGAGATGAATTCCGAGGTGTGGGGGGCAGGTGATGCTCCAAATAGTCCTGCTCTGAGTGGGATTGTGAACAGTGTTTCATACTTTACATACCCATTACCTGTAGATCTTACTGTGTTGTCTATATGCATGTGTTTTTATGGTTTTATTTCCTCTTCCACTGTGCATAGTTCTGGGAGCCCCTTTTGACCTTTGGTCATCTCTGCGCTCTCCATCAGAATGTCTGGACTTTCCAGGGAGCGCTGGGGCTTGGTGGCACCCCCTCCAAAAGCTTCATTCAATGGAAAGTTTGAAGAGATTGAGCTGGAGATGCAGACATAACTTTTCGTTTTATTATCCACTGTCGTATCCCCACCATTCATAAAAAGGATCTGAATCAGCAGTGTACGCATCCCACACTTCTTTTTAAAATTAGTACGTGGGTAGCAAGTCTTAACACTGTCCTTTTGTGGAATGATTTTGTTCACTATGTGTAATTCCTTTTAGCTCTTTATTGTAGATTCCTCTTTCTATTACTGCTGAGAATTTAAAATGCTACACTCATATTTAGAATCACAGCAGAATACTGCTTTACACCTTATTTCCTTTTCAACAGTCCCATCTTGTTTAAATATTTTTAAATTGTAGTAACCGCACATTGTTCCGTGGGATGGTTGGATATATTTAAATCTCTAGTCCCCTAGAGTAGACCTGATGCTGTTTCAGACTTTGCCTAAGTTTTGATGTAATAGTCACTTTTGTACGTACATGAATCTGTTTTGTTATATTTGTGCCTTGCTGTTTGTGAATCTTTTTGTTAAGTCCTTAATACACTGTCTTAGAGACTGAAGGTGATAAGCTAACGGGAATTGTGGGAGCCTCACTCTAACCACATTCTTAGAATATTATTATTATTTTTTCTGTCCCCCAGAATATTATTAAGTAACTGAAGAAAAAAATTTTTTTTGCTAGGCCGGATTTGCTCGAGCAGGCACCAGTAATGCCTACATTGTGAGACTTGTTGTTACTGTTTTTGGCATATCGAATATGCCATAGGGAACTTGCAAGGTTCTGCTGTGCAGGCGGGACACTGTTGGTAGCTTGCCGGGCTCTACGAGGGAGATGGAGGAATCGAACCCCAGTTGGCCGCATGCAAGACAAACGCTCAAGTAAATAGATGAACAAAGGGAGGACAGTGCTGCAGTGCTACAGTGTTACACTGGAACGATAGTACAGTTGAGTAGTGGGTTTGCCTTGCATGCATTGGACCCAGGTTTGGTTCCCGGCACCCCATACAGTTCCCTGAACACTGCCAGAAGTTATTCCTAAGTGCAGAGCAAGGAGTAAAGTCTGAACACTTCTGGGAGCCCCCGCCCCAGCTCTCGACCCCCCTCCCAAACAAAACCAAAAATTTTGCTAATTTGATAAGGAAGTGTTTATCAGTTGAGTTTTGGGTAGACTTTAAAAATCAGTCATAGGGACCAGTGGTTAAGGTACAGGCCTTGCATGTCACTGACCCAGTATGATCCCTGGTAACACATGATCCTTTGAGCATCCCTGGGTATATCTTGGAGGCCCCCAGGCACTGTCATTATGACCTAGTAGTCTTGACACTGAGCAGCAACACATCCTCAGGTCCAGATCATCCTCAGATTGATCTGGCCTGATTGGCTGAGAATTTCTGCAAAGGATTCTGGACCTCCTAAGTGTTGCTTCTGACGCTCCCAGCCTCCTCTTCCCCACCACAACCCCCCAAAAAAGTCAGCTGTGGAGTTTGCACTTACTTTTAATTATGTCTCATAGCAATGTTTAGAACTTGCCGCCATACTTATAAATGGCATATGTGAAGTCTTACATTTTATACAGTCTTTAGGTTGTATCTGTTCTTTGGCTGGTTTTAGTAGTGCAGGTACATTTTATATACTCACACCCTATACTTAGACATGAAAGGTAGTCATTTTCCAAATCATTTGTTTTAAGAGACTGGAAGAATTGAAAAACATACCACTGGTTGACATGCCAAGAGAAAACTATTGGTGACTGTTAGGTAATCATTTAAGGTTCTTAAGCATATAATTTCATACCTGTTGATCATTGAATGACTACTATGTGGTGTTAAGGATATAATTTCATGGATATTGATCATTTAATGCCTACTATGTGCTGCTGTGCTTCTAGGCACATGTTCTCTCAAATGGACAGCAACCTCATTTTAAGGATTTCGAGAAATTGAGATTTAGTGAGAAATTGAGTGACATATCTAATATACGGCAGAGTGGAATTTTCAGTGACTTTTTGTTTTATTTTTGGTTTTAGTTTGGGGGCCATACCTGGCTCAGCCACATTTAGGGCATGTGCCTTAACCCCTTACCATCTCTCTGGCCCTGGGCTTTTTTCTTAATGCTGACTTTGGGACTGGTTCAATTCCTAGCACCGTGATCGGGTTTCCTGAGCACCGCTAGGAATGATCCTTGAGTCTGGAGTGGGCTCTGAGTAAAGCCGGCGTACCCCCTGCCAAAGGAGTTTATGTGGGGGCCACAGCTGGCAGTGCCAGGAGACACTCCCAATGGATCACTTGAGGCACCTTGAGGTGCAGGAGAACAAACCTCCTTGCTCCCAAATGCATAGCATGTGCTCTGTTCTTTGAGTCCTCTCTCCGACTTCCGTGAACTGCAGGCCTGTTATCGCAAACTGCACTACGTTGAACTAAACCGGAGTAGGGTGAGACGAAGCCTACCCTCTGCTGTCAGGCTTTCTGAGAACCAGAGGAAAGTCAACATAAAATGGTGTAGACTTCGTATTAAGTGCAAGTCACACCCATCAATTTAGGTAACTGTTTTAACTTCTCGAAAGACTACTGAAAACTATGGAGAGGTTGCATGAAATCTGAGAAAGAAGGAAGTGGACTCCCTGATGTTTGCCATACTTAAAATATTGACTACTGCACAACAGGCAAAGAACTCACCCATTCTCTGCTATGTGCATCACTCTTGAAATGCTAGGTAGAAGATGCATTCAGTGTCTTCAGATTTACCCCAATGGTAAAATCTTTCGTTAAACCGTGGAATTAAGTACAAAACTGGTGCGCCCTTCTGCATTGCCTCGTGTATCTTTCTTGAGATTCAGAACGTACTCTAGGGATTCTTCCCAATGAGGTACTGCTCAGACCTGAGTCTCACCCCAGCCACTGAGGTATATAACATGCAGATCAGATCAGATCAGATAGTTAAACTGGTTGCCAGTCTTCCAAAATGTTGGCTCTAGAACCAGTTTCATGACAATAAGAGGAAGGAGAGAATGCTAATCCTCACCCTTCTCTAGTCCATCCTTATTCAAAACGGGATAGGTAAGAAATTGTTCCTTTGGGGGCTGGAGAGATAGGATAGTGGTAGGGCACTAATTGCCTTGCATGTGATTGACCTGGGTTAGATCCCTGGCCCTCCGTATACTTCCTTCACCTGCCAGGAGTGATTCCTGAGCACCACTGGGTATGGCCCAGCCCCTCTTACCCCGTCATCCCCCCTCCCCCCCTTCGGAAAATAAATTGTTCCTTTTGCCTCTTTACTGTTTTGTCCTGGATTAGCACTGAAGACTTGGTCTATAGCAGAGTTGGGTTTTTCTTTTTTTCAACCCGGGGCCACATAGGCCCCCAGGATATTCCAGAGAGGCCACAGGTAAAAATAGCATAAATGGAGGCTGTGGAATGAGCCTCAGAGCCAACTAGTAGGAGGGGGTGGGGTGGGGGGTGGG